TTATTAGTCATATGCATAGAATTTCTCCTTATTTCGGTTCAGTGTTTTAGTGTTCACTGTTTTTAGAATTTTGCTAACAATTTGAATGTAGGCCCCTCTTGATCTTGAGGCCCTAGGCTGAAGCCTAGTTAGCCTATAGGAAAATCCGGCCCTGACCACGGTCTATATGCTGGTCTTCTGCCCTGAGAGAACAGACTCTGCAGTATCCCTTCCTTAATTAAATCTGCTACTGTTTTCTTTTTCAGTGCTAGTGAAAGGGCAAGTCACCACTAAATATTACCGTTTCCTGGCCAAACAAGGTGGCTGGGTCTGGGTGCAGAGCTACGCCACCATCGTTCACAACAGCCGGTCTTCCCGGCCCCATTGCATCGTCAGCGTCAACTATGTGCTCACGTAAGTCTGTGTTCTGGAAGCTCCATGGTACTTCTCAAAAGTGGGCACCTGAGTGCTGGCAGAAGCCTGGAGATACCAGGCCTTCAGGTTTGGAATGCATTAAGGGCATGTGGGGCAGTTGCTTCAGAGCTGGATTGCATTAAAAAAAATGAACTACTTTTCCTTTGCCTGTCATGGGAACACTTTAAGTGGGGCCGTAAAAAAGGCCAATATTTCAACCCTCCCCTCCCAACCCAAATCCACTTTGGCTGAAGTTTTTAGTTCATGGGTACCGCCCTTTCTATGAGTTTGGCCAGGATATCTGGAGTTCTTTCATCTGGCTGAAAGCTTTCCTTTCCTCTCTTCTTCTGTTCTCCTAGAGGGGAATGAGCAAGATTTAGGGCTTTGTCACCCTTCATGTTTGCTCACTTTCTGCCTTCTTATAGCTGAAGGGGCACCCTGCATTAAATAAAATCTAATGCAGCGTAAAAGAAAGGTTTCAACGTACGGAGTTATTTATACTTAACAAACAGGACATCTGTTTTTCTTTTTCTCTGAAACAGGGGGTCAGAACCTGGGAGTTTGAAGTTCTTAATTTTATCCAGAGTATCTATCAAAGCTTTGTGATTTCTTTCTTGTTCAAAGGGATGGAGCATTAGATGGAGAGAGGAAAGGGGTAGGGAAACGGTTGTGGTGACTAGAAGGGGTTCAGTTAGCGAAACAATAGCCTATAAGAGAAAAATATATAAGCAGGGCAAGGAAAGAGCATTGAGAATGTTGAAAATGCCCCGTCCTATCATAATTAATAATTAGGCAGTGCTAGGAGTGAATGTCTGCACACTTGTACTTACAGAAAGAATGTGAAATTATATGCAAAGCTCTGTCTTTCACTCTCCTTCTCAAAAGTCTCTCTGATATAGCTATTGTTGCTCTTTTATTCCATGGATCCTGGTTGCTAAAGAACAATGAACACACCAGAGTCCCATTTCCCTTTCTAATTTCTGTTTGAAAGAATGATGGTTAGAGTATGGAGACAGATAGCAAAATGATAGTGTAGGAACATTCAGCAAAATATGAACCATGGCAGGTATGATACCATGAGATATCCATTGGCACCCCAATTAAAAAACCCATATTGAAAAAACAAAGGTAACTAAATCTCATAGATCTCTATGTGTAATATAGAATATAGAATTTGGAAAGTATTTATTTATTTATTTATATTTATACACCTTCTGGTTATAAACGATGAAAATGATAAAATAATTTAACAAGCTAAGGGAGAAAAGAATAACATTGAACACCAATGGGCATGACAACAGTCTATCCCTAATCCAGATTTTTAAAGATGGTTTAAAAATGTGTAAAGTCAGGTTAATTTGACCTTCTGGGGATGTAAGCACTGTGAGGGTTTGTTCTATTTGGTGAGGAAAATCTTTGGAAGATTAAAACATTTTTTTGCTTCGACTTTCGGCTGAGAAACAGCATCAAACCCCATTATTCTCATTCAATTTACCATCAGTTTGGAATTTTATGAGAGCCTCGAATCCCGAAAGAGAAATTTAGGAACAGATGATGAGCCAGAGCTTCTCCAGCTCAGGTTGAACTTGCATTTATTCTGCCTCTCTTTTATTACTTTAATAGGCATTTTTAAAATCACTTTATAACTAATTGTAAGCCCAAAGCATTGCCGCTTCATCAGTTAGATCTTCCAAACAATCTCTGACTCTTGGATTTTTCAATATTTTAAATGAACTCCTCCTACCGTTGTTACTCTCCAAATCCTTTCAGTTGTTCACCCAGGTAAACAATTCAGTTGAGATGCTTTGCTGAAAGGGGAGACATGATAGCAGTGTTCCAATAGCTCAGGGGTTGCCACAAAGAAGAGGGAATCAAACTATTCTCCAAGGGACCTGAGCTGGAGAAGCTCTGGCTCATCATCTGTTCCTAAATTTCTCTTTCGGGATTCGAGGCTCTCATAAAATTCCAAACTGATGGTAAATTGAATGAGAATAATGGGGTTTGATGCTGTTTCTCAGCCGAAAGTCGAAGCAAA